GGCAGGCACAGTGGCTCAAACCTGTAATCCCAACACTTTGGGAGGCCGAGGCGAGAGGATTGCCTGAGTCCATGGGTTCGAGACCACACCAGGCAACATGGTGAGACCTCGTCTCTACAATAAATTTTAAAAAAGAAAGGAAGAAAAATAGCCGGGCATGGTAGCGCACGCCTGTAGTTCTGGCTATTTGAAAGGCTGAGGTAGAAGAATCACCTGAGCCCAGCAGGTCGATGCTGGGGTGGCCGTGAGCATGCCACTGCACTCCAGCCTGAACGATGGAGTGAGACTCCAACTCAAAAAATAAAATCCAGGCACAGTGCTCATCCCTATTTCCCAGCACTTTGGGAGGCCAAGACAGGAGGACTGCTTGAGCCTAGGAGTTTGAGACCAGCCCAGGCAACAAAGATAGACCCCGTCTCTACAGAAAATAAGAAAAAATTAGCCAGGCATGGTGGCGCATGCTTATAGTCCCAGTTCCTCAGGAGCCTGAGGTGGGAGGATCACTTGAGGCCAGGAGTTTGAGGCTATGGTGAGCTATGATCATGCCACTGTACTCCAACCTGGGCAACAGAGCAAGATTCTGACTACTTGTGAGACAGAAAGCATCAAATAAATTCTAGATGTAAATACAGCCATCAGCCCTCTGTCCTTCTCCCACTCCAAACCCCACCCCTCCAGCAAAATGATCTTGGGAGAAAAAGCACTACTTACCTTTGCCATGCTTTTTTTTTTTTTTTTTAAGTTGGAGTCTCACTCTGTTGCCCAGGCTGGAGTGCCTTGGCACGCGCATGGCCACCCCAGCATCGACCTGTTGGGCTCTGGCAATCCTTCCACCTCAGCCTTCCAAGTAGCTGGAACTACAGGTGCGCACTACCACGCCTAGCTAATTTTTTGATTTATTGTAGACATGAGGTCTCACCAAGTTACCCGGGTGGGTCTCGAACCCACGGGTTCAGGCAATCCACTCACCTCAGCCTCCCAAGGCGTGGGATTACAGGCTGAGCCACCGAGCCCGGCTGCCATGCTCCTTAGAAACCCCAGAGGGTTCAGAATACAGACCAAAGTCCTTAGCGTGTTTGGCTGTTAGACCAGGCAGCACTGGATTTGAATGCTGGTTACCCTAGCTCTAGCTGTATGATCCTACTGCAAGTTATTCAGGCTTTATGAGCCTCACAGGGGCTTAATCCAGGACAAGTGCCTGGTATACAGCAGGCCCTCAACAAATGTTGTAGCCCAGACATCCAGCCTCCTTCCTTCACCACATATACAGTGCTTCCACCACACTTTCTTGCAGAAATGCCCACATCTCTGCTCAGGCCAATTTTGCTGTCCAGAATGCCTTTCTCTGCCTGGTAAGCTCCTACTCATCCTTTAAAACACAACACAAATATAATCTTGTAAACCTTACCAAACTACCAGTCAGCCCATGTGTTCCCATACCATTGAGCTCCTTGCTCTCGCACAGCTCTTCTCATCCTGCCCTTGTTTCCACATCAGCCTGTCCCACTAGTCTATGAGCTCGTTGAGGGCAAGGAGTCATCTGATTGAATTCCTGCCTCAAAAAGTATTTGATGATGGAAGACAAAACTCAACATTCAACATGCTGCCACTGAAATTAGGAATAGGAGGGTGAATAAACCTCCCAGGAGTTCAGCAAATACTATTCCTATAGCTTCTAGGAACCTTAAGGATGTTACACTTCTCAGTACTGTGATTTTAAAGCTTCTCCTCTCCTCTGACCTCACCAGCTACCAGCTCAGGAAGCACCTGTCCCATCTTCTACATATGAAGCAGCTTGGAGCTGGAGATGGGGACAGATGGAACCAAGAGTGTGCAGCACTGCTCCTCCAGGTTTGGAGGAAGGAACTGGAATTTAAACTCCCAGAGACCATCACAGTACACAAGACCCCCAAGAGTCCACCCAAGGGCATCTCAGGCCCAAAGTCCACCAAGCACTCAGTGCTCAAGCAAATCTATGGTAACTGTCCTCCTGGGTACTTTAGAGTACAACAAGCACCCCCACAGCGTCATATCAGAATCTGAAATGGGATTTTATTACATTGGGCAAGCTACCAGCTCCATTCACATAAAACTCTCTTATCCTAGTTTAAACCAGCAAGAGAATTCTCAGCACCATTTAGTGCCACCTGGATCAAAACTGGTTCGTGAGGCATTTTGGCATCTCAGCCAAGACAGCCTTCCAGCCAAGAGCCAGAAGATTCTCTGCTGGACTCTATGACCAAAAGCCTTAAAGTTTAAACTTCTCCAGACCCCTGCTTGGGTCCCCCCTTACACTACCCAGTAGGAAGACACTAGACTTAGGCTCTGCTTGCCTCATTTTGACCTTTCCTATGCTAAAACAGTACAGGATTGCCCCAAACCCAAGCACTACAGTAAATACTTGTTCAGCATTATCAGTTGCTATAAACTGAAACATTTTCAGTCTAGAAAGAACTCACCCAAAAAAACTTAGTAGAGAGCAAGTCTGGTTGGACCACCAACAGAAAAAAGTTGAGCCAGGTGCTTTTAGAAAGATCTCCTGCAGTGCAGACAACCAAAATCTCAGGACTTTGCCCTGGGCCTACATGGTACCACACCATACTTAGTTTATCTTGGCAGACACCTACAAACTCAAGCCTTTACCTCAGTAAGGAATTCAGAACTTGGTCAGGCCACAGCTGTCACTGGTGAAATATAAATGGCAGTTGTTCGTTAATTTCAGGTTGTTCTCAAGAAGGGAAAGTACATCATCCCACAAGATCTTCAAAAGCCCCTTCTGCGCTGCATCTCAATTCAGGTAAGGCAGTCACAGCAAAGCAGATGAGGGAGGAAACACAGGGAAGCACTTACCTTTTTTTTTTTTCCTTCCTCAAAGGTATTAGACATTAGAACAGAGATGGCCAGAGTTTTCCAATGGTCATTTAATTTCAGTTATGCATGTTTTTTATCCCTCTTTCATTGGATTATTACTGCAGTCAACATCTGTCTCCATAAGAGGCAAATTATTTTCACAACCAAAAACTATTATTGTTAACATTACCTCCAGCAGAAACAATACAGGGTATCTATTATTGATCACTGTTGCATAAATGTTCATCACATAGAGGAGGAAGTGAAAATGCGGTCATTCTTCAAAGGAATACCTTGGGAATCTTTGTTTCATTTTGGTGTCACATTAAGATCCTCCATTTCCTTCCCCAAGATGTGGAGAATACCATGAAGAAGACACAGATACCATGTGCAGCTCAGGCTCAGCTGTGCACTTTCACTCATACAGGAGACATTCAGGGAACTTTCTTTTCAGCCATTAAGACAACAGTGTTTTACTTAGGGTCCCTTCATTCACTCCAGCATTACACATGATGATAAGTTCAGTGCTGTCAGCAGCTAATGCCAGGTCCAGTGTTTCTCACAGGTAGCTATGGCAACACGACCCCCCACCTTCCCTGATCCACACAGTCATCCTGCAGGAACAGAGTGCAGCTGGGAAGGTGAACAGTGACTGTCAGCATGAACTTTAACGTTCATTTAGTTTTGATAGGGGGAAAATCTGAAGGTGGGGGATAGAGTAATTACTGCCAAATCTTTAATGAGAGTTGGGCAACTCATATAATATAAGCAGGCTGATCAGGGAATGGGGGACGAGGCAGTTAGAAGCTTAAAAGGAATCAAGGCCCACAGTTCTGTGTCAAAAAATATATATTTTCAATATACTAGAGCAAATTAAAGAATTTTCAAAAACTGATATAATCACCACAGAAATGGCATTTAATCAAATACCAGTATAAAATTGAAAATCAGATTTTTTACTTTAATCAGAAAAACAAATCCAAGGATAACCAGAAACCTTCAGAAATGAAGGCATTTAGCAGCATAAAAGGTTTTTAATTAAGGGACTGGGCAGGAACAGAGTAAACCAATTTAAAAAGAAACACTCAGTGGTTTCTTAGGACTTCACATGAACTTTGTCCTACACATATTTATGACTACTTTGAAACTAGACAAGGACAGAATAATCTTAATTTAAAATTTGGGGGAACACAACATTTTGTTGACCCTTCATCTATCTACATTAAGCATTAACCAATTAATATTAAGTTGATCATATAGAGCTGCTAGGTATACTTTAACTGAAGCCTGTTTTTTTTAAGTGTATAACTGTAATAATTTCCATGAAATGAGCATGACTTGGACACACACAGGACATGTGACTCACAGATGCCAAACTGAACCAAGATGGAGAATATTAACTTTTTTTTAGGTGGAATGGGGGGGGGGGGGGTTTCAGTCTATCACCAGCTGGAGTGGCATGATTAACAGCTTACCACAGCCTCAACCTCCTGAGCTCAGGTGATCCTCCTCCTCAGCTTCCCAAGTAGCTGGGACTACAGGTGCACAACACCATGCCTGGCTGTTTTTGTTTTATTTTTTAAAAAAAGAGATGAGGTCTTGCCATGTTGCCCAGGCTGATCAGCTATGGTCTAATTTAGCTTTAATAAAATGTTAGCTAACTTTTTGCCTTGAGAATTGCATAGGGTTAGGGACTTTCTAATTGTTTTATTCAGTTTTAGAAAATTGCTTGACACATTGTAAATGCTCAAATATTTGATAAATGAGTATTGTTGCTCCCACCCTCCAACTTGGGTAGATCCCCTAAGGGTTTAGTAGTCTTCACCACTTAAAAAGGAACAGAATGAAAAAAATATAGCAAAATGACAGCCTCTTTGGGCTGTTTCCCTACATGCATTCAGGTGTCAGTGAAACAATCCCCGCTTACTCCAGTCTTCCACTCTGGCAAATCACCCACCAAGAATGTGTATCAGATTTTAATTGGTACACACACATACTGGGTCCATCTCTTAAAAATGACTCCCCTTAAGATTCCATTCCAGTGGGTGGAATGACCACAGATCAAGTAATCAATTATTAGTAATGATACCCCTGTATGAATCCAGTAAATTTCCGCCCACCTGCAGAGGGTATGCAGATGACAAGTCAAGATGCAGTGAAGGCAGCCAAAAACATGCCCAAGTTCCAAAAGCAATACTTCAATTTAAAATAAAAACCTATTTTCTAGAATGAACTAATACAAAGTATAAGGCAAAAAGAGTTAAAAGATGTATTATGACAGGGTGCAGGGCCTCATGCCTACACTTTGGGAGATTAGGAGTATAAGGCCAACCTGGGCAAAATAGCAAGATCCTGTCTCTACAAAAAAAATAAAAAATAAAAAAGTTGGACATGGTGGTGCATGCCTATAGTCCTAACTACTCAGGAGGCTGCGGCATGAGGATAGCTTGAGCCGAGGAGTTCAAGGTTACAGTAAGTTATGATTGCACCACTGCACTCCAGCCTGGGCAGAGGGAGACTCTTGGAGGGGAAAAAAAAAGATGTGTTATATGTTTATGTAAGTATGTGTCATGTTATGTTAGAGAGACACACAAAGAGAAAGATATCACATCAGATATTCCAGGCTGAAGACCTAGGTTCCAGTCCTTGTTCCTCAACTGTCTACCTATTTTCTCCCAATCAAGTTTCCCCCTTAAAGAGATGCCCTGTACTTTTGAGATTATAGAAAATGCAAGCTAGTAAGTTATCCTCTCTCTACAGTAAACTGAACCATCACCCCAAGGATAGCCTAAACCTAATTCTTTTTCCTTGCCAATGAACTCTTTCATTAAGCATTAAAATTATTAACATGAATATCTATCTGGGATTTATTTTTAACAGTGAGCAACTTGCAGTGTATACATCTCCCTGAGAACAGTGGAAGATCAAAGAACTTTTCTTATAACCTGCAATCAGCAACTAAATCAAAAAACAAAACAAAGCTTCGACTGCCTGTGGAGGAAGACTGTGTACGGGGGAGCTGGAAAACCTAGTGCAGAGTTCTCTCTGCTGATTATCTCTTACATTGTGGGAAAACTTTAATATCCATGCCTGAAAACTTACTGGCCTAAAAATGTAGTAACAAAGCAAATGTCAAAATATTTTCTCTCTGTTCTTACTCTTTAATAATCATTGTAGCCAGCACTGAAAGGACCAATGTTAACTATGCCTGTGCAAACTGCCTGGCTGTCTGCTTTCACCTTGTCTGTATGGATGGAAATGAGAATAAGTAAGAATGTGAACACTAAAGGGGTTGCTGAGTTGGGATTTCTGCTAGTTAACTGGTGCAGGCCCATTTTTTGGCTCAAGTGATGAACCTAAATGACAGGGGAGCCTGTCTCTCACAAATTTCCTGGAATTTAATGAAACAAAGTTCATCGAAGACACCATATCCTTACTGTTACTTGAACATTATCAATTTTAAATTTTAAGTCAGAATCATGACTGTGTGTGCATTTAGAAATTACATGACCATAGATACATTCAGTTGATTCCTTACATTTTACAGTTCCCATGTTAGCCTCTGAAAGCCACAGGTTGCTGCCATGTCCTCTCTTCACTGCTTCTTCACTGCTGGGCACCAAGAACAGTATCACAGTATCAAGGAATCTATCAGGTAGGTTTACAGACCAGATCATTCATGCAGTAAGGTGCCAACTCAGGCCTTAATGTTCAACTTGTGTTTTCTGACCAAATTACAGAAGTGAGCAATATTCTCAAATACCATTCCTACTGACAGGGAAGACTTTGCTGACTACACACATTCTAATTCTCTAAGAATGGCTGGTTTAAATGAAGTCCAGTGATTATGGGTTCTTAAGGTTAAGACTGCTGTGGGAATGTAGACAGGAGGCATGAACAGTGACATATTAGGCCTGCAGGTATTTTTAGGGTTACTTCCATTTTTCTTAGGATCAGTGCCACAATTAAGTGTTCACTTAACTTAATCATCTTGCTTTTTACTTTGCTAATTTGTTATATCATTTTCATAATTATAAAAACAAAGAATAAGGCCTGCCTAGATGGGACTGCAAAGATTTGGCTTATTTCTTGGTAAGTAACAGAAGGTACTACAGTATCACTCCGTATTTTGTAAATATTTAGGTCCTATGAAATGCGAAATGGCTATAATGGTTACCACCTATAACCACATATAATGTGCCAGGCCAGGAACCAGACTATACATCAGTGGGAACTCTCAAGTATTATTTTCCTATTGTGGTGCAAAGGAAGGTTCATAAACTTTTTTAAAAGTTCAGATTTAATGACAAACATTTATTATATCAGTCTTTCTTTAAAATAAGATAGATATGAATAAACAATTTCAAACAGGAGGTACCATGGCCTCTTCAATACACTGCACTCAAAGCACTAGGTCCCTGGGGATGCCCAGTGATATACACGTTGAAGCAATAATGTAGGTCTGTGAGCCACTGTTCCTGAACACTTCCACTCTTCAATGTCTGGAGAGAAAAACAAAAGTAATTCGAGAATTGTACCAAAATTACTAGGCTACCTGGCAGGATTTCTCACACCTAAACCTGACTTCTCAGAGCCTTGGCAACAGTGTCCCAATCTATAAACAGCAGGACGTCTTCTCAGAAAACAGGAATTATTAATTGGGCATTACCAAAAGTGGTGAAAATTGCTAATTATATCCTCAAGTGCTACTGGTTTTTTAGTGAGTGTGATCCCTCCTACAGAGGCTAAGGATAATGAAATTTCACCACCGACCATCGCTGCACCCTTGCTCCCCACCTCCTGGCACTCTAGTGTCTCATGATCTTTACACTAACATCAAGAGAAGAATCCTACAAAACCAACTGACAATTTCTCTTCACCTCTTCTTTACAAAATGAGCTGATTCTCCAACCTGGTAAGTTCTTGATTTTTTTTCCCTTCAACTATTTCTGAATTATTTCACTGCTATTTACATAACTTTCATAAAGGCCACTGAGAAAATTCTGCATGAGCACTTGTGTTATATATACATGAAAAAGCTCTAATACCCCAAAGTATTAATATACACCTCAGTGAATAATCTACAAATCAAACACCTATAACAAAACACTTATTTAGGCCAGGCTTGGTGGCTCAGTCTGTAATCCCAGCACTTTGGGAGGCCGAGGCGAGAGGTCTGACTGAGCCTGTGGGTTCGAGACCAGCCTGGGCATTGGCAAGACCTCGTCTCTACAATGAATTAAAAAAAGTCTGTACAATGAATTAAAAAAAAAAAATTAGCCAGGCGTGGTAGCACGCGACTGTGGTTTTGGCTCCTTGGAAGACTGAGGCAGAAGGATCGCTAGAGCCCAGCAGGTCGATGCTGGGGTGGACGTGAGTGTGCCACTGCACTCCAGCCTGGGCAATGGAGTAAAACTCCAACTCAAAAAAAAAAAAAACACTTATTTAACCCTTCCAAATCATAACCACTAAAGACATCCTAAACAGAGCTGCCCCCCAAAACAGACACTGCCAAAGGCAAAGAGCCAACCATTAGACAAAGCAACTTCCTTCCTTTGATTTCCTTTTACTTTTCAGTGAACTAAGTGACTAGAAATTCACCTAAGGTTTAGTCTTGCTAAATAATTTCCTTAACGATAGCTAACATTTATGGAGTACTTAACAAATATTAGGTATACTCAGTGATCAACAAACACAAAGCTAGCATCATTCCCATTTTTACAGATGAAAAAAAAACAAGCTTGGATAGGTAGAAAAAAAGAAAACAAAAAAAAACTTGGCAAGTTATTGCAGTTCATCAATAGATAGGAACGACACCAATGTCCTTACCTTCTCCAACTAAGCTATCTAGTGCCACTTTCATTCAGTTTGAGTATTTTAGGGCTTTTTTTTTACTGATTCTAGAATGAGAGACAGTCCCCCTGGGTTAAGTCACAGTCAGGTGCTAGACAGCAGGAGAAGCCCTGGCGTACTACCGCACTGAGCTTAATTCCAAGAGTCAGTCAATGCACACGAACTCTACTCTCCACCAAAACACTACCCCATACCCTCTCTGAATCCACTCTTATGCTAATTATACAAAGCCCCTAAGACTATGCTCTTACCGTGATGTTCTTGATGATCTGCTGCACCAAGATCGCATTGGTCAACATATGAGTCCTGAGGGGTGCATGCTGAAGCAGCAGGCGAAGCAGCTGGCCCACAACAGGCAGCTCCTCAGGCCCAGCTCTGTTCACCCGCAGGCTCTGCAGCATCAACCTGAGGACTCGAGGCAGTAGTGCCAGGATGGAGACACAGACCCCCCATAGCTTGTCCCTACAAAAATAGAGACAGAAATGAGTCAAGTGAGCTGAAACACAAACAAAATCTCCTTTCCATATTGCCCTAAACTGAAATGTTCTTTTAAGAAGCATGGTGTGTTAACTAATTAAGAACTGGGTTCATCAGAACTAAATAAGCAAAACCAATGAAGAATTAATTAGCCGGTTTCCCTTATAGGCTTCAGAAAGCCTAGCAGCCACCACTTTCCTAGGCTTACCATGACATTTTTGAAACCCTGGTGGATTATATATAACAGAACTTGCACGAGAACAGAATGATCTACACAAGCAAACCTCTGTTACCTATCACCAGACATCATTCCACATTATACAACTATGGAGATCAAAAGAATAAGACTGGTAAAAAAGGAAGAAAAGAAACTAAGCCTAGGACCTGGACTCAGCCTCTTCAATGTCTCAGAGAAGGCAGATGTACAAAGAGAAAGATGTGCTAATCAGAAGCTAAAATATATTTCTGAAAGTAGCCAATAAGGGGATCATTTCCTGAACCACTATGTAGATTATGAAAGAACAGAGACAGTAAGTTCAAATATAAATGAGCATTATTCTCTTGGCATTTTTATAGAGCAAAAGCAAAAATGCTTACAGTAAAGATGGTGAACTTGTAGTGGCCTAACCACATTTTTAAATGGAGCAATATTCCTTTGGAGGGAGAGTCCATTGAGTGCTAAAGGCTCTGACCTTAGTCTGTTGCAGTTTCTATACCAAGAGTATAACTATCCTAGTTCCCAAAGCTTTCTAAGAGAACCTGACTACCTCCAGGTCTAAAGGGAGCAGCCCTTTCACCATGTGACCAACCTCCCCGACTCTACAAATAGCAATTGCATCTAGGGTAAATAATGAATCCATTCTAGGCAAGCCAGGTCCTCTTATTTAAATATTTGTCCTATAAGACGGATACAGAGCCAGGACGGGATAGCCATGTGCAAGGAGAAAAGGAAAGCTAGACTGTACAACACAGCTAATAATAAAGCAAAGGCAGAGATGAAGACTAAAACAATCTAGAAGAAAAAGAATAGAGAAAGCTACTTTGGTTCCTGCTGGACTTCTAATTCCTAGCCCTGAGATTTTAAATGTTACTCCTGTAATGGTCCAGTATTTTTATGGCATACTTTTGTTAATTCGAGTAGGTTTCAAATAGTCACAGACCTTAAAAAAAAAAATACACAGTCAAGCTTAAAAGCCAGATGGGTGAAACCTCTAGATAGCAGAAACTATGACAAAATTCATACGAAGACACCCAACAGAGGGTACAGAAATGGATATGGGATTTAAGGAAGCTAAAGCTTCAGGTCCTAAGTGTGAGAAGCAGGGAGCTTGAACTGAGTTTCTTACATAAAGCAGGAGGCCATGAAAAAGCAAATGTCAAATTTCCCATAGGGAAGTCTTCACAAACCTCCATAGAACACCCACAAAAGATGCACTTAGGGAAAAGGTATGCACCCAAAAACATCAGTTTGTTCAACTTTCTCCTCTGAATAAGAGAAAATTTTCACACCAGAGAAATAAAGAGTGAACAGAACAAACTGACAGGAGCTTTAAAGTAATACCAATAAACCAAGATCAAGCAAGAATGACAAAGTGGCAACTAAAAATCCAAAGGAGAAAAAAATCCAAAAGAAAATGATTCCTGATGAAATGAAAACTCAATAGGAGGATTAAATAAAAGAATTAGCAGATTGGAAGATGTTAAGAGATAAAGAGAACAGAATGAGAAGCTCTCTATGCTTAAAAAGCGTTTTTAGAAGAAAAGTCTAGAAACAATGGCGCAAGAGAGTTAG